GTCACACATGTTCGAATGTGTGTGTGCGAAACAGCCGAGGAGAACAACTGCCAGAGAGGTTGAGAGACAACACAGAGAGATAACACGATGAGTACAACATATGTGTGAGCAAATTAATTGCTAAGGGAATTACGATCACTATCACTTCCTGTGATGTAATTTAAGAAACAAATGGCTGACTTTCTCCCAGATCAGGGGAAAGATGAGAAAACAGCTGCCAGCCTGAACATATTGCAATTGTCTGCAAACAGAGGCGTAATATGCATTAGCAATCATTTATGTCACGAAGGTGGAAACTGGAATATCCTTTACCAACCTCATCTTAAAGGCACTTTCCTTTGGACTTTTTATTTGCCTTCTTTTTTGCAGATTCATCCCCTTTCTGCCATAAAAATTTCATGAGAGAAAATAGATAATTTAATCTTCATTAAACATACAAGGAGCTCACTCTCTGGCCTGGCCGGCTGAATTAACTGCTGGGCTTCGAGGGATTAGACTGTTAGGCTGAAATTCCGTAACTCCGACGAGCTTTATATCATTGCATCTCTGTTTCTTAATGGAAATAAGATGATCGTTCTCTGTTCGCTGTCAAGTAAGTCCTTAAGAGACTTACTATACAGAACAGAGGAGGGAACTTTTGATGGACTGACCTGTGAAGGTGAAGCAGGAGACTCGGGCAGACAAAGGAAAGGAGAGAGGCCGTGGTTTGGGATTGTAATGACATTGAAAAGGCGGTAAATAAATAAGATGGGCTTGGATCTCTTTGAAATCTGATTGATGTGTCTTTTGGGATGCCCCCCAGTATGAAAGACCTACTGAGTCTGTGGCTTTCATCCCTGACCGAAAATCGATGAGCCAGGATGTATGAGAGGCTCCTGCTCTCTACCCACCAATCTCCTGCCAGAATCCCAGGTAACTGTCTCACAAGAAAGGGGATAAGAGATAAAAAAGGTGAATGGTAACTTATATCTTTTTAGTAAAACTTAATTTTAAATTACACTACAGCAAAAAAAAGCTACAATACACCCCAAAAAGGAAAAGCAACCTTCAGAAATTAACTTCCTGAAATGAGCCTGAACTCCAAAACAGCAACATTGTTTCCCTGGCCTCCATCAATCCATCCACTTTCTGTGTGTTGAATTAGGAATGGCTGGTGTAATTGCATAACACATGAGTATGGCCTCGCGGGTTAGATTTTCCATCTTACACAAAGTGGAGACAAGGAAATAGGAAATGCTTCTGGAATTGGGTGTAATTAAGACTGACGGCGGCGAGAATTGTGCTCAGCCTGACACTTGAGGTAGTCTGCTGAAGTATGGTTTAGCCTAAAGGACGACAAAGAACAGCATGCTGGGTTTAAATGAACTTCTTTCAACGCAAGTGAAGATTCTTGTATGACTAACGGAGTCTCTCTCACACACACTGCTCGCTTAAGGATGACAGGAGGTTAATCAAGCTTTAAAGCATGAGATTACAACAGACATGACAAGCAGGATTGAATAGATTTGCCACAATGTCTGCTATAACTGTTCTGAGAACCTTTCTAACAGAAAATTCAGGACTGAATTGTCATCCCTGAGCCAGACAGAAACCACATTTACACATAAACACAAATAATACTGCTTCACTGACCCGAAGAATATGTCGCCATTCTTGACGTACTGCAAAAATATTGTAGTACGTGAAACAAACAAACAAAAACACCACCAGTTCCCCACCTGACATGCTGAAATAGCAACCCAAAGACAAGCAGATACGTTGTTACACAATATGGACACATTGTTCTCTTTCATTAGATGAGACAAGGTATCCTTATTTTGCATAGCAACTGATTACATTTAGAAACAAATGTTCCCCTCTTATCACCTCAGAGTAGAGACTCCACGCGGCAGTTTATCAAACCAGGATGGGGCTTCATATAAATAAACAGGGAGCTGTCAGTAAACAATGCATTCTAGTAGTTTCACAGTGGTGTGCACTTGGTGGGAGGGTGGGGATTTACCGTAATGACGCAAAATCCATCATAAAGAAAAGTGTCATCCTGGTTACTTCCCCAAAAATAAGAAAACAATTTATGGGCACAAAATATGAAATTAACAGGAGGTTAATCAAGGCGAACAAAATAGTTTTAAATAAAGATGGGCAGTATCTAGTTTTGTAATTATGTGATCTCACTGGTCACATATTATTTCATATTGTGCAATAGTGTCTGAAGTGTCACCTTTTGGTATTTGCAGTGTTGGTAGCCAAGGAAGTAGTTAAGATGGATGTCCTCAGTGAAGGTTTATCCAACTATGAAGTTCCTTATGTCCTTTCAAACTTGGCAAATCATATAATCGATGTTAAGAGTTGTGGTGGTGGTTTTAATGAAAATTCTTTGCTTTTGAAAGTCCAAACACATTAGTGACCAAGGATGATATTCATGAAGCTTTCACTGTAAGTCAGACTGAATGCAGACATCTCTGCATTCATCGGCTGTGAAATCTGTTTTGTTAAATCGCAATTCAACGAAACAAAGGTGACTATTTTACCGCTTCAAACCACTGCATCACTCCAGCAAAAACATTTAGTTACAAGGAAAATACTTTCACAAGTGCTTTTATACTAACCTCTATGTTTATAGAGGGAGTTCAGCACAATGCTTGTATAGTAGCATTGATGAAGCTACAACAATGTGCCACTCTCATCCGTCTTCTGACCCTCTGTCATAAACAAGACTCTAATATACTTTAAAGAAATGACTCATATGGGACATGCTTGTGACAACATCATTATTCAGCACCACAGGCCACATGGCCAAGTGGCTTTCACAATAAAATGAACAAGGTTAGGTTTCTACAGCCCTGCCAGGCTTGTAGAAACTCTGAAATTCCAAATCAATTCATGCAACATAGAAACAAATAAAAACCTTTTTCAACCAAATGTTCTTGGAAGTATTAGACATAGTGGCGCTAATATGAGCGCTCTAGTATTACCAATCTGTATTTCCACTCTGGACAGCAGGGTTTAAAAACACTCACAGCTGTTGTTGTGCACAGAGCCCAGCCTAACTTTATGTAATAGGTTCTTTTCACACCTTAAATACAACCATTAGGTTGTTCCCATATAAGAGTTTAAAGATCTTTAAAAACATCTGTCACTGCCAAGTGTTAACTTGGCATATATAAACTTTTTCACCTCTTTAGATGTCCACTTAGAGGTTACATCAAAATAACTGTTGGATATGTGTGATTAAAGAACAAAAAACAAACAAACCAGCATACAAAAAGTGCAACATGACACCTTTAAGATACATCCACAAGCACAATATCAGGTTCTTGGACATGCAGCAATAACAACAAAAACACAGGGAGCCTGCACAGCATAAAAAGCAAGAATCCTTTAGAAGGACACTGTGTGCTACTGCGCATCAGCTGGACATTTACCAAACATAAGGGGAAAAAGTAGGTGTAATACACAAAAACCTTGTGAGTGACCAAAGCACTGAGGTCCACAGACCTCTCCATCAGAATATTAGCTCAACATCACTAGAAGACAGGAAGTGCTATCATGCTGTGACAACAGGCTTTTAGGAAGAGCACAGAAATTAGATGACAACTGTAGCTGCTCCATAAGACAGGAACTGTGCTGAGACAACTTCCTTTTAGGGGTTGCATTAATCTCACAAGGTTTAACATTAAGGATCGAGGTGCTAATGCAAGGCCAGGTCATTTAATTACATATGGATTCTGAAGACAGAGCGTAAGATTCACGCTGTCACCCAGCATTAAAATCATTAATGTCCAGTTCAATGTTCTACTCTACTCCTGCATGGTTTCATGTGATCCTTTTATCACACAATACGAATTCTAGTAAGAAAATATGCTCCAACTTTTACATTCTTATGAATGACAGAATATTTTCTGTATTTTTTAAATTACCAATTCTATCTGAGATTTGTTTATTTGCAAGTCTCTAATCTCTACTTCTAATATACATAGAACAGGTTTTTGTCAATTCATGTCTGAAAACACTGGGGCTGATATTGTACTTCTTAGGGATATGTGTACCTATGCTGCTGCAAAAATGGTG